GACATCTATTGCTCAGGAAACATGGTCAAGAATCAACAAATGGGACCTCATTAAACAAGCTTCTGTACATCAAAAGAAACAACCAAGGAAGTGAAGAGAAAACCCACAGAGTGGGAGAAAATCTTCACCAGCAACATATGTGACAGAAGTTTAACATCCAGAATATATAATGAACTCAAAAAACAAAGAATCAAGAAAGGAAATAGATGGGCCCAATTCAAAGATGGGCTATGGAGCTGAACAGAGAGTTCTCAAAAGAAGAAATAAAATGGCTAAGAAGCATCTTAAAAGATGTTCAACATCGTTAGCAATTAGGGAAATGCATATTAAAACCACTTTAAGATTTCATCTTACCCCAGTCAGACTGGCTAAGACCAAAAGAACAAATAATACCCAATGTTGGAGAGGATGTGGGGAAAGGGGAACACTCATCCACTGCTGGTGGGGCTGCAAACTTGTTCAACCCCTATGGAAAGCAGTGTGGAGAACTCTTAAAAAACTACAAATGAACCTACCATTTGACCCAGTTATACCACTCCTTGGCATATACCCAAAGAACTCATCCTATTGCAGAGATGCTTGTACATTCATGTTTGTTGCTGCTCTTTTCACAACAGCTAAGAGATGAAAGCAACCTAAGTGTCCCTCAATTGATGAGTGGATAATGGAAATGTGGTTCATTTATACGATGGAGTTTTACTCAGCAGTAAAGAAAAATGAAATCATGATATTTGCAGGTAAATGGATGGAAACAAACTGGCATACTAAGTGAAGTAACACAGATTCAGAAAAATGAACAATTTATGTTCTCCCTCATACGTGGTTCCTAGCACCAAATCCTGACAAGTGATTATGTATCCAGGCATAACTACAGGAACCAAGATAATGAAAAGGAACCAGAGAGGTAAAGGAAAAGAAAGAATCTGAAAGGGAAGAACAGTTGGAAACAGGTGTTAATAAGGGAGACATGGATAAAAATGGGGTTATTTTAAGGGGAGTGGGGAGGGAAGGTTATACAAGGAACCTAGGGGATAAAGGGAAAGAAGGAGCTCAAGAGAGGTGGGACCATAGGAGAAGGGTATTATTAAGGGAGAAATGGAAAAAACAGGGCACTTTAAATGGAGAAACCATGGTGGAAGGGGTAGACAATGTGAGAGATAAATAATGCCTAACTAGTTTAAAAAAAAAAAAACCAGAAGGAACCATATTAATTGAACAACCTACTGACAAATTATACATACAACTAGCTCAAGGAATATAATATATGTCTACGCAAGGTTTATTGGAGAACGTTTGGTCTTTGCCCAAGCTTTGTCTACATGGAACATGGTAATTAAAAGTATGAGACTGGTGGAACTAACCTTCTTGGATGTTTAACAGCCATAGGTTGAGGTGTATACTAATTTCGTCAGAGGGACAAAAAAGGCAGTTTTTGCTCCTTGCCTTCCTAGGTCAACTAAGTTCCAGGGGACTATGAGCATCTCTCAAAATGTCCTGTTGCTGTGGTGAGCCCCCTGTCCTCTTAATCAAGGAGGCCATGGAGACCCCTATCAAATAGACTTGAACCAGTGTCCAGTCTACAAAGAGGAGGGACAACACAGAGTAAACATTTCCTCCATGCTTCCAAGTGAAGCCAGCCATGGTCGAGCAGGACTTTGACCTATCTTCACATAGATAAAACTGGTAAAAGAAAGGAGCCAGGGGCTCCTCCCAAGCCCATGTGACCCCTGAGGAACAGATTCTCAAATGGTCTTAAGAGTAAAAATAAATGGTTTATCTGGTTCTAAACACCCAAAAGGAAAGTATACTTAAAGATGAAAGGGGTCAATATAATTTAAGAGTCCATGTGTATAGCTAAAGGCTACATAACAGGAAACAATGACAGACAGGAGATACCTTCCTTTGAATTGTTGGCCAGGGTATCCCAAGAGACTCCCAGACAGTAACCTGGCATAGAACTGGGAAAATGAACAGCAGACCCAAATCTTTATCTAAAGGAATGTTGGCAACTGATTGCTGCTAGATGAGGAACAGCTGATCTTCCTAAAACAAGGACCTCTAGATAGGCTGACTAGATTCAAAGGATGGACTAGCACTGGGAAATGGCTGGGGATACTGATAACACAGTGGACAGTAACAGAGATGATAGAACATACTGGCTCCTGGTGGGGGGGTATAGGAGGGTGCCATTTGGGATGCGGGTATATTGATGAATAATCTTGTTCGGGGTGTTCTGTATGAAATACGCACAAAAAGATCAAGAAAAAAAAAAAAAAAACACCTTTCTTCAACAGCAGCAGGTGCTTAACAAATCCTATAACCTTGAAAGCTGTTATATTGAAACATGGACTATAATAGTCCAGAGTGCCAAGAAAAACGATTTCTTCAAAGAGGGAAAAAATTCCTTAGTAATGCTACAAATAGGATGTGTTGTTCTCTTAAGTAATGGCTGGTTTTGATGGCTAGTCTTTAGGGAAAGCTAATGCAAGCTGCCAGTGCACACCACGTGTCAAGTCCCTACCACATTCAGAATTAAATGTGTGATCTGATTGGAGGTAGAAGGACTTACGAACTGCTCAGTTCCAATCCCCATCACAAAACTGCAAAATGTTTATTCTCACTCCAAAGATTTACAAACTAATAAAGACTTAAAATTGTTAGCCACCGTGGAGAAGAGATGGTGCATGTTATTTTAATAACTATGTCTTGGAAAGGTGAGCCCCAAGTTGCTGTCCTCTACAACTACTGATGATGATGGCAAACAATGAACACAAACACGGGAGTGGCTTTTTCCCAAGATCACACTGAGATGGTCTGGACTTGGTCATCATGTCTAGAAGTGCTAATTTGAAAGGACATCTAAAGCAGTAAGTTTGAGTCCACACCATTTACAGGGTTACTGTTTCACCCATAAAACTTGCTGACAATTATGAAGTCACACCTTTTTCTCTCCTATCAAATCTGAAAGACAAAAGAAACGTACACAGCAATGCTGCGTTTTAAACCCAAAAGTCTGTGTCACACACATTGCAGTGAAATTTGAAAAACACCATGGTTCTGAGCGTTACTTTTATACCTCCCACCAAAAATAGCTAGGAAAAAAAATGAGAAACATGTAACAGAGGCCCAGTGATCTGAAATAGAGGGACAGTGGACACAACGCTCAGTTCTACAGTGTCTCCTTTCTTGATCGGCCATTTCTTCTCAGACTGAGTGTCACCCACAATATGAGCCATGACACAGCCCTGTCCTGCTCCTTCAGCCTTTCTTCTCCTTCAGTGCAGGCTCTGTTCTTCTGGCTTATGGAATCTTTCAAAATTTAGTGGTCCATAGGCTATCTATAAACTGATTCCACAGAGTAAAATTCCATTAACTATTCAAGGTGTGTGGAAGTCATGGAAAGTAGTTTAAATCAAAGTTCACTGCTAACTAACTCTTAAGAAAACACATAAGAACAGCTTGGGAACTGTCCCACATACAAAGCAAGAAGACAGAAAGATCTGGAAATGAGCAGCTGAAAAGTATCTCAGTTTTATTCATCTTAAGAGAGAAAGGGAAGCTGGAAGGGGCATATCAGGGAGTTCCTGGGGCACCTTCTTCCCTTAGAAGAGAGACAGAGAATAGATATGATAGCAAAAGCTTCCTGCTGAAGAACAGAGCTTAGCCAATGACAGCCAAAGACTCTTTATGATTAGTTTAGTTTACTTGTACATAAGTAGAAGCAACAAGCTGGTAAACACTGTCATTAACACTTTCTAGGGATGAGCTAGGGAGTGGCTCAGTGAGTAAAGTGCTTGCCACGCAGGCATGAGGACCTATCTTCAGCACAGAGGAAGTTAGGACGATTCCTCGGGTTCACTGGCCAGCCAATCTAGCCAAATCACCAAGTCTCAGGTCTCAGATGAGAAACCCTATCTCAAAAATCATGACAGATGGTTCAATGGAGGCTGACCTCTGGCCACAAGTGAATGTGCACACTCCAGCACACACAGACATGAATAAGCACCCAGGTCCACTCCCTCCCACACTCCCCAAAAAAGCAAAAACAGAAAAAAAAAAAACCCAAAATAAAACCACCTTCCTACTGAGGACATTAAAGAAAAACACCTGCAAAAAAAGTTAAGTTCTTCAATTACAAAAGAATTTTAAAAGGAACCTAACACAGCACTTTATAAACACAAAATAAATCACACTGCTACAATTTAAGAACAGAACTAAGTAAAACCATTTCATCAAACGTCCTAACAGAGGACAACTCAATCTGTGTACAAAAGGGTGAAAGCACGTTGTACTTTTAGTTTCAGATGAATCTTTCCGCCTCCCAAAGTAAGCGTCTCTTGCATGGAGCACTTCAAGGCTGTGCCACCAGAAAAGTAGGTGTCATCCTGAAATACCAGAGACCCACACTTCTAAATATGATGCGAGTCCACTTACGCCCAAGTCAAGAGCAGCATGTACACAGGAAGTGGACCACAGCCATCAGGAAGTACAGGGAGAATGGAATGAGCAGTCACTACTGAGTATGTGGATCTTTTAGGGGAGAAAAATGTCATAAAGTCATACAGTGAAGATATTATACAATCTACAACTCTTATAATTTTCAAAAGGGAAAGTTATAAGACATGAACTGTATCTCAAAACTGTTACTAAAAAGTTAAATTTAAATTTAGAGAATGGGGGCTGGAGAAATGGCTCAGCGGTTAAGAGCACTGACTGCTCTTGCAGAGGATCAGGGTTTGATTCCTAGCACCCACGTGACAGCTAACAACCGTCCGTAATTCCAGTTCCAGGGGTTCTGATGCTCTCTTCTGACCTCTGAGCACTGCATGACATGGGTGGACCTATCTATATGCAGGCAATACACTCATACACATAAAATAAAAATAATTTTAAAAAATGTTAAATTTAGAGAACGGCTGACAGGACGGATTCACATTTGTAGGTCAGGCATCAGAAGCAGCATGGTTCAGAGTTGTCCTTGTTTCAAGGCCTCCTTTTACCTTAGCAAGGCGGCTCATCTGATCCTCTGAGCCAGCGCTGCTCGTTCTGCCCGGGGTTTTTGTGGGTTCTGAGCCATCGGCCTCCATGTTCGGCCAGACTTTCAAGTCGTGCATTCCTTGGCGAAACATGCTATGGGAAAAAGAGTTAAGGCAAGAGGTTAGCTGAGGCAGCTACCGTCATTCTTAGGTTCCGGAGAAACAGGTTTCCACATGAAGAAATGCATGTGACGTGCCAGGCTGGGGCCCGGTGGTTTGCAGAGCAACAAGCTAAACTGCTAAAACCCAGACACTGCCCCTCCCCATGCCACTCCTCCTCCTTCAGTCAGAACTGTGCAAAGTCCAGGAAAGACCCTTAATGAGCAGAGCTCATTTGTGGACACCTGTTCCTTGGGGACACCCAAGCAATGTCTACCCCTTTTTCCAGGGCTCCAATGGCAAACCAAGGTAGAATTCCACCGAAGTCCTACTTGGACTGGGCCTTTACAGAGCACAGATGAAGGGTTCCTTACAGGAGCACAGGGGATCCCAAAGCAGTGCTGCTGGTGGAAAGCCTCACCTCAAAGATGAACACTTCCCACAGCTGCAGAGGTGCTTCTAACCTCCCACAGACATGTACCCTAGCGGCTGCCAAGGCCTTGAGGCCATGTGTAACTGGGGCAGAAGTCATACAAATGTGATTGGAAGGGGCAGGACAAGGACGGTGAACTCGCGGATCCCTTCCTTCTATGAGAGAAGCCCACAGTCAACACACTCTATCTCAGGGGACGCCTGCAAGTATTCACAGCTATTGTGACAAAAACAACAGCTGTTATGTTTGGAAGACAGCCTCCTAAACCACTTCAGGAGACATCATAAACAACTGAAACTAAATTTCTACCCGACAGAAAAACGTCACATTTAGAACAGAAAAACTGTGAAGTGATATAACTTTTTAGGTGTCAATTCAGCATGGCCCAGGTTTGGATCACAACTGTGCCATCTGTTTTGTGTGTTCTTGGATAAATGCATGTAACCTCGAAGTATACTTCAGTTTTCTCATTAATAAATTGGGACTAATAAGGAATGCCTTACTTTACACAGATAAGAAAATCAAAAAAGAAACAAGAAAAAGAAAAATCACTATAAAGGGCTTAGAATAGTATTTGGTAAACAGACACTATTCTCTTCACTACCACGCTGGCTTTGTGATCCCCTTTTCTTCAAGAGGGATGTTCTAAAAGAGAATACAATATAGCAGGTTCATCTAAAAACAACAAAAAACTCTCATGTCTACAAATCAGAAACTGACCACATAAGGATGCAGCCCACACTTATTCTGCTGTAAAGTGAAAGAAACACAGCCTTTGACTGTCAGATTTCTCTGAGATCACCCAGAAGACCTAGAGCAAAGTTAGAGGAAGGGCTGGGGAGATGGCCCAGCAGGTAAGGCTCTTGCCACACAAATGTAAGGACCTGAGTTCAAATCCCTAATCCCACATAAAAGCTGGGCACAGCGCTTGGAACCTGTAATCCCAGTACCCCTAAGAAGAGAGCCTAGAGAAGAATCCCCAGAGTTTGTGCACCAGCCAACCTGGTGGACACAATGACCAACAGGAGCGAGACCTTGCCTCAAACAAGAGGACGGTGAGGACCAACACCTGAGACTGTCCTCCTCCATATGCAGCCACACACAGGAACAGGCATGTTCGTATGTACACACACAAGTGCACACACAGAGTCTAACCCTTCCGGCTATGCGAGTGTCAAAAGTGCCAGGGTTTGCTGCCTGTGTGGGGGACTCAGGGTGTTGTGCTCCGCTTTGACAACGGTTATGAGCGAGGTGCACACAATGCCAAGCCCACTCTAGCAGCAGCACTGCCAAGGGTAAAAGAACGAGCTTCCAACTGCAATGGAAGAAAAGAGTACAGCCGTGTGCAGTACAGAAGGGAGTCTAAAGCACTCTGTACAATTCATTGTCAATCATCTTTTTAAATGAGATACATTTTGGAAATACTGATTCACATTTAGACTTTAAAACAGTTTCTACTCAATTGTAAAGGGTTTATATAAAAATCTGCAACTATTACAGCAACGTTATAATGAAATAGTTCAAGATTTTTTCCCCTGAAATAAGCAAAGAGATTCTCACTAAACATTATGTAAAGTATAAAAATGATGATGCCAGCCAGCCTTGGTGGTGCACGCCTTTGATCCAGTACCCAGGAGGCAGAGGCAGGCAGATCTCTGTGAGTTCAAGGCCAGCTTGGTCTACATAGTGAGTTCAAGGCCAGCTTGGTCTACATAGTGAGTTCAAGGCCAGCTTGGTCTACACAGTGAGTTCAAGGCCAGCTTGGTCTACACAGTGAGTTCAAGGCCAGCTTGGTCTACACAGTGAGTTCAAGGCCAGCTTGGTCTACACAGTGAGTTCAAGGCCAGCTTGGTCTACACAGTGAGTTCAAGGCCAGCTTGGTCTACACAGTGAGTTCAAGGCCAGCTTGGTCTACACAGTGAGTTCAAGGCCAGCTTGGTCTACACAGTGAGTTCAAGGCCAGCTTGGTCTACACAGTGAGTTCAAGGCCAGCTTGGTCTACACAGTGAGTTCAAGGCCAGCTTGGTCTACACAGTGAGTTCAAGGCCAGCTTGGTCTACACAGTGAGTTCAAGGCCAGCTTGGTCTACACAGTGAGTTCAAGGCCAGCTTGGTCTACACAGTGAGTTCAAGGCCAGCTTGGTCTACATAGTGAGTTCAAGGCTAGCTAGAGCTATAGGGTGACCAAGGCCAAAAAAAAAAAAAAAAAAAAAAAAAAAGGATGAAGCATTCCCTTACATATGCAGGAACTAAGCTAAAAACAAAACAAATGCAACCCGCTAGAGTGGTAAAGGACCGACCACAACACAGCAGCAGTAAATAAACAGTTCCTCTTCCACCTCACTCCCCTCAGCAAATACTTGGCTGAATTTAACTAACTGAAGAAAGAAAATGGCCAGAAGTCAGTGTACTAAATGATTTGGGTGCCTTGGGATAGATATAGAGAACAGTTTAAGATGAGGTATGGGAACAAGTGACTGTAATAATCAAGTCAGCACACCACTCTCTTTGGGTACTAATGGAACCCTGATTTACACAGCCTGCACAGGGAGAGGCAGAAGATGCTTTGAGACTTATGTCCTCTTGGGAACTTGAGCTGAACAGACAAACAGACAAACGGCACAGCAGGCTCTCCCTCAGCTTCAAGAAGCCCAGCACCAGCTGCCCCCGTAGCTCTGGCTGAAGGGCCATGCACTGCAGTAGCCACTGCCTGGACTTCAGAACTCACACGTGCAAAAACACCCCCACATCTGCAGCTTCCTATGGTTGTTACATCCAGTAAAGATCAACCTACTGTTAAGTTCGGAAGTCTCTCAAACTACATGTCCAAGTTAAAGACAGTGAGTCATTCTAGACTTACTGTAACAGCAATCTTTCAATAGCAGGCTTCTCGAAGTTCTGCCTCATGCTAACTCACATATACAAAGGAGATACTAGTGAAGAGCAGGAGTCGGCAGTCACACTGCAGTATTACATGCTCTGAGGGCAACTTTTACAAGCTAGTTTAGCATACCAAGCTCCTTTAGGAAGGAGACAACGGATGACACTTATTACTAGAGAAACATCTGAGAAAACTACGACCCATGGTAGTGTTTCTCTAAGTAACAACTTCTGCAGTACAGGGCATGGAATCTGAGGATAGAGAACATCCAGGCTTGCTACTGACACACCAAGATGACTCCTGTTACACTGTCTGTGAGTCAGTGGTGCCACAGGCAGCACAACAGAGTTTTACACAGTGCTCCCCTCACCCTAGCCCCAAGCACTCTAAAAATTACTGGTCTACACAGTCAAGTTCTACCCAAATTCCAGTTGCTACAAAGGGTGATGGCACATCTGTGCAGCCAGCTCACCTTAGGCCAAGACCCCAGGACACAGAAAGGCGGAGCTGCTTCAACTTCACAGGAACTCCTTCTTGTGGAAGGAAGGTCCACACACATGCCAGCCTAAAGGAACAAGAGTTGGTAGTCTAACTGTCTTGCCTTTCCCCACTGTTCAAAGTCTGGGAAGACCTGCATTAAAACCCGGTATCATTACCTGGATAAATATATTACAGCCACAGAGGTGGAACTACTAATAAAGTATTCTGAAAATCCACCTTCATCCTAACTCTAAGATGACTACATCTGTCTAATCTCAGGCATCCACTCTAAGAAAGACCACCTTTTTAAAGGTATTGTTTGCATAGTTTGCAAATCAAATAATTATTATTTTAATAGTATTTACTTTAATAACTTTTACTTCCATTTCTAAAACTTAATAAGTAGTTTCAATTGTCTAATTCAACCCAATGATTATAACTTTAATATCACCCAGAGTTCCTGTGATCCATGCACAGCAGGAACAGTGAGTCTTCCCATTAAAAGAACTGGGAGAAAGAGAAAGAGCTGGGCGAAATACAAACATGAGTAAAGAAGAGAACTCCACAGAGACAGCTAATACCCAACAGTGAGGACGGGCTGAGGCCCAAGGGCCGCTGCCCTGGGAGATGGTATGACAGAATCAGTACAGCTCCCTGACACAACTCCATTTATCTGAGCTCTGATAAGCCATGTGAAAACAGCACGAACTGTTTTCCAGTTTCCAGACAAGAGAAAACAGGTGACTTTTCAAGACATAATCGTAGTTAATGATAAGCAAACAAATTTAACTCCTAATGACTGCTATGACCTTCATGGAAAGTCCTGTGGTGCAAATGGGAGATGAAGGACTTTTCCCCTGACTGAGCTGTACAAAGAGCTGGAAAGAAAACAGCACGGAGGGAAGCAGAGGACACACACAGCTAGCAAGGGTAGCAGCACCTCCACAGGTCTGTTGGCAGGCCTCCTGACAGTCACTTGGTGCCCAGCCACACGTACAACTTTATCAGAACTTGCAGAGGAGCTTCTCTAGTAAGCTTTCCAGACGATTCTCACAGATTGGCTACAACTGATATAACATGCTTTCTGAAAGTCTGCCGAAAGCCAAGAAAAATAATGCCCCACATCCACCTGGGAAAGCGTTACCCAGGCTGCAGACAGGTCGCTTCACTGCACTTCAGTGGAGACTTCAATTGCTCCATACTCACAGCCCAGTCAGAAAATCCCTCAGGCCAGACCCCAAGTTACCCAGAATGCACACCAGTGCTGCATCAGGGGTTATGACAGAACCTGCAGCTTACACCCCAGAAGGCACATCACCTGTGAAGAACCCAGAAGACAGGACACTTAGTCACTAAGACCAATACACTGATATATTTTGTCTTTATCTCTGTGCCATGCAAACCCCTCCTTAGTATTTTTTAAAAAGTAAACAACAGAAAAGTAGACTCGCGTGTGTCCACTGCTGCTACCTGCTGTCCACATTATTACCTCAAAATGGACTACAATATCCAACACCACCCTAGTGGATACATTATACTTAAATAGCTACACACTAACACATCAAACCCTCTAAATGGACCACATCTAGACTCTATTCACGAGTGGAATCATTCTTGTACACTCTGCACCTAGGTTGAAAAATTATACAAAGGTTTCAATTCTCTTTAAATTAAGAAATACAAATCAGTAAGATTTTTCAAACAAAAGAACAATGACCTTTTTTTTTTTTTTTCTATTGAGAAAGCAGCTTTAAAATTCATCTTGGCAAATTCATCTTAGCATATCCAGAAATATTTTCATTCCATTTATTTACTGTGTGTGGCTTACGGACGCCATGGTGGGTCAGACGACCATTTCTCGGAGTCACCTCTTGCCTTCTATACATGGAACCCAAGGGTCAAACTCAGCTCATCAGGCATGGCAGCAAGCACCTTCCCAGCTCAGGCACCTCCCTTAGAAGAAAGAACTTGTCTACCAGAAAGCACAGACTGACCAGGGACGCTACCGCACAGTTCAAAGGATATGAGGTCACCTGAAGGGGTTCATGCTGACTAAAATGGAATTCTGCAGGTTTTAACACCAACTCCCTGTGCTTAAAATGGAGAAGACAGAACCATTTATCTGCCATTTTATACACCACCATGTGTATCAGTATATGCCAAGCATACCAATATTCACTAAAGACCATGGTCTTTATTAAAAATGCCCAGCCAGTCAGAGTATAATGTCATCAACTAATGGAGCCCTGCATTCCAGAAAAAACTGGTTACAAGAAAATGCCCTTCAAGGCTATGTGATTTTTTTTTTTAAACAGTTAAGCTTATAGTTACAGACTTTTTAGAAAATAGGTAACTTTTCTGTTAAATCATTACCACAGTAAACCAATGATCTTTAAGCTTGCTTGTCTTTTTTGTCATGGTTATGACAAGTCAGGAAAGCAATTACAGCGTATACCAAGGGATCTCCCCCAAAGCAAGGTTCCAGCTCCCAGTGACATATTCTTCAATAGAAATCACATTAGCAGCCTCCCAACAGTAGAATAACACAAACTGTTGTCTCTTGGATCACAAAGATGCTGTGATGCTCAACACTGACTGTCAAACTGCTAGGACCCAGATTCACCTTAAGAAAGAAACCCCAGGTCATATCTGTGAGGGAGTGTCCAGACAGGTTAACTGAAGTGCTGTCACACTAAGGCAGGCAACAGCATTCCAAAAGCTGGGGTCCAGGACTATAAAAACAGGAGAAGGTGAGCTAATTGCCAGCATTCACCCCTCTTTGCTTCTAACTGCAGAAACAGGTATCAGGTACACCGCCCTCCTGCAGACATGTCCTCATCCCCATGAAGGTTGTGCCCTCAAACTGTGATGTCTTTTTGTCAGAACTTGTCAGAATAATGAGAAAAGTAACTAATCCAGCATATCCTGTAGGAAATCCATCTTAGATTCAATCTCAAAACTGAGCAAATCCCATGGATCTGACTCGTTTTCCCATGGAGAACCAGACCATATAACCAACTGAAGTTCTCTGGGAAGAAAAGCCAGAAGGTTACAGCCCTGTGGACCAGAAGGGATGCTTACCCATATTTTCCAAAGAGTGACACGGTTGTCCCTCCCACAGGCACTGCTTTTCCTGGTCCATACACATCCCATATGGTCAGGGCCACCTGGGCATTCCTGGGCAGGTCGGGGTATTTCACAGGTAGTTTTAGCCATTCATTCCAACTACAGAAACAAAATCAACAGAATACATATGTATCTTTCTTTTAAATTAACCTATGACAGTTTGTTTGGCCAAATGAAAAGGTCCAAAAAATTAGATTAGTACTATAAAAAGTAGTGTAGACGTCACCTCAGTTTTGCTCCTCCAAATACGAAAAAGACATGAAGTTTGAATATTGCTCATAACAAATAGCACTGCTCTGCCTTTCAATCAAGATGCTCAAGCTAAGCCTACATTCCTAGCACTTAGGAGGCCAAGGCATGAGTATCATGAGTTCAAGGACAGATCAGACTACAATATGAGTTTGAGGCTAGCCATGCTCAGAGTGAGAGCACTATCTCATACAAAGAATAAAGGGGGGGGGGCAATATCACTAAGATATAAGGAAACAGAATGGCAGAAAAATAAAAATAAACAAATAAATTTGGGAAAACATTTCAAAACACCTGAATGAATAGGACTCAGCATGTATGGCAGACGGCATAGGGTTCGGAGTGGGGAGAGAGGGAGGCATGGATGGGGGAGGGGGGGTCTGGATTTGAGTGGGAAATGTATGAAATTTTAAAAGCTCAATAAAAATTAAAAATAAATAAATAAAACTTTTAAACTAAACTGTTGTTTTCTTTAACCAGTTTCTAGAATACAACTTTACATTATGACAATAACCAAACCATACAGTAATTATAAAATAATCATATTATGCTAACACATTCCTGAAGAAGATAAAGTAATTCTAAACAATAAAAACCTCATGAAGTCAAAGCAGACCACCTATCACTTTTGTAACACACAAACATAACCGACTTGCCCATCTGTTCTGTCTCATGAGAATTCTTTTCAATATTTTAAAAAAAAATATATTTTACTTAGTATTTTTATTTTTTTTATGTGTATGTATGTGTATGTACCTGCATATATTAACTTGCTAATGAATGTTTCCTAATAATACAGAAAAAAACAGCAAAATTTCTTACTCTATATTCATCTCTGTAAATTCTCTTCTGCATTTAAAATGGATTCATCTGATAATTTCCACTCCCTTAAGCAAACGGCTTTTATAATCCCAAAAGAACCCCAAACAAATACCCAGAAAACACAAAAAACTCTTTCTCTATTCATTCACAACTACCTTCAAAGTAATTTATCTCCATCTAGATCAAATGCATGCAAAAAAAACTCAACATAATTTTCAAAACCCTCAGCAAAATAGTATGTACAGGTATTGTACAAATTTAAAAACATCCTGGAAAATGAGAGCTGTCCATCAATTCTGAGGCAAGGCAGAACATCGTTTTTCTTTTTAAAAAGCTCCAAAAAAATAAAACTGTTGCCAGGTATGGTGGTGCATGTCTTTAATCCCAGAACTCAGGAGGCAGAGGAGGGAGATGTCTGCAAGTTCCAGGCTAGCTGGGACTTTTTTTATTGTCTCAAAATAAAAATAAAATTAATTAATTAAATAGAACTACATGCTTAAGAAAGCCATTTTCTCTACAGATGAGTCTGAGCAACTGAATGAACTTCTGCCCACATGCCCACAGAGTAGGATGGCAAGGGATATGGAACAGCACTAGTCCTTGAGGATGAAGGAGAGTCGGAGGACAACTGACATGAGCTTAATTAACATGAGGTCAAGCTGAAGAGAAAAATGAGGCACAGGATCCAAACTAAACTGACATTTCTCACCTGTTTTTCTGTCCTTTGGACTCAGGGAAACAGTATCCTGACCAAATGATTATTCTCCTCAAACCTTTTTCCATCTAACTCCTGGTTGCAACATCTCTTTAAATCAAAATAAGTACAATAGACACTGTTTTACATGCTGGGTGTATTAGTCACTTTTCTGTTGCTGAGATAGAAACACTGACCCAAGCAGTTTATAGAAGGAAGGGTTTATTTGAGCTTACAGCTCCAGGGGAATTAGCCCATCATGGCAGGGAGGCATGGTGGCTGGAGGTGGCTGGACCAGGAGCAGCAGAAGCTAAGCTCTCACATCATCACACAGACACAGGAAGCAAGAGAGCGACTGGCGGTCTGGCAAGGCTTAAGAACTCTCTAAGCCCACCCCCAGTGATGTGCTTCCTCCAGGATAGCCACACCTTCTAAAGCCTCCTAAAACAGCGCCACCATCTGGGGACAGAATGTTCAAATACTTGGAGCCTATGGGGGACATTATCATTCAAACGACCACACTGGGTTTCTACATAAAAGTTCGTTTGGAGAAAACAGCCTTTCAGCTAACATATAAAAACTACTCTAGACATTCCAAAACTCACGGAAGGAACTGTTTCAAACACCAAAAAGCTGTGCATTTTGAACATAATTTTGTTATTGCACTGCCCGTCCATCACTGCTAGTCCAATTCCTAATAACCTGTCTCAAGATTGCAAGACTACAACTTGGACACTGCAATCTACCCCAAGCCCCACCTGACACACCACTGCCCGCTCTCTCCAGTCTGATGACTACACTTTTAAACCCAAACTCCGTGATGTTAAATAGGGTGTTATTCTCTTTCTTCTCTATTCCTCTCCCCACCTCCCTTTCAAATGTTTTAGGGGGCAGGAAAGAATGTAAATCTTTCCGAAAGTCTAAGGGGCTGGGCTCTGTACCTCAGTGGTACAGTCCCATTAACAACCAAAAAACCCTTAATATGAAGTATAGAAAACTAAAAATGAGAACTTGCAAATTTGCCTTAACTGTGATTAAAACTGTGCTCATTATGGGGTCTTTTTAAACTTATTATATATTTAGATGTTTATGTGTGTGTGGAGGTCAGAAGAAACTTTTGGGAGTTGGTTAGATTCTACTTCCACAAGATGGATCCCAGGGTGTCAAGTGCCTTTACTCACTGAGCCACCATCTAGGCCTGGTCTTCACTGTGAGGTCTTATTGTAGGGCAAGACAAACTTGGATAAAATTTGGGTGAATTCCCTACTATTAGAACCCACACAAGTCATGATCAGACAGATTTAGATAATGTGGAATGTCATACTATCCCTAAATATCCAAACTAAAGTTTCACTTTGAAATGCAAAATTTCATATATTTAGGAGGTACTTTTACGGAGCAACTTTTCTTCAGGCTGTGGAATACTTCCTGTAAGCAAATACTTGTACAGGATAATGGCAGTACAGAGTCCATCTCATTTTCACTTCGGTGAGCAGGCAACACACTGAGCTTTCACAAGCTAAGAGCAGCTGGCACAAAGCCTGTAAATGCTTTCCCTTAACTTCAGAGCATATTTTTTTAAATGCCTATTCTTATGGGACATACCCCCCAATAAAGTACTTTCTCAAACTATGTTCTACAATGTCTTAGATCTTTTAGTGATCAAATGTTGAGTTTTTACAACTTTACGATCTACGATAGCAAAAGTAATGCAAGAAAGTGCTAGCAGATACAAGGAGACAGATTTGCTTTGGTTCTAATTTCCTTTTGGGCAGTGTTAGGAACAGAAAATAAAACTTCTCTACACCTAAAGAAGAGGTTTCGCCAAAGCTGCAGGCCTTCTGTACCTAAACCCATTCTGCAGCAAAGACCACAGTCCACTGTTCTAGGTATAATGGTACTATGGTCATGCTTGCTGCTGTTTCTGGGTTTAGAGACAGGGTCTCTGTGCCTCAGCTTCCTGCCACCTCAAAAACAAAAGCAAACAAACAAAAAAACCTCCCAGGTAGCTCCTCTAAACTGTCTCTATTACAACATCAGTAAGGCAATGGAAAAACAGTCTAGAAGCTTTCATATGCTAAAAGAACAACAGAAATAAAAACAACTTACTTCCACCTCGTACTGAACGCCTTGTAGGATGTTCTCACTGGCAATGCCAGAGGCTTTCCTTCAGCAAAAACCTGGCATGTAACGTAGAGGTCGGAGCAGGTCTCTTGGTAGAGCCCTGAGAACTTCAGCATTGGGTCTTCGAGGACAGCCTTGTAGCTCTTCTGTTCTCTCTTCCCTTCCAAGCTCCCTCTGAAAGCACAGGACTGTTTCAAACACACACTTCCAAAGCACACACATAAATTGATGCTGTGAACGTTCACATCTGTTAGTCATATGCTATCTAAAACATTTTCCTGGATTCAAAGCAATGTCACATAAGATAAGCAACTTTGAAAATCCAAACATTGCTAAGATTATTCCAGCTTCATTAACAGGTTTCTCTACTCTGGTGTCCTAATTTTAACTTCCGCCCCCCACTCTTGATTTACCTTCTCAAAGTTGCAGCTTTCGAGGCCTTAGTTTCAGTTTATTCATTCCACATTGACTTCTTATTCACTGTCTTTAAGCCGACATTTAGAGACTAAGCATAAGGCCAAAAGACACAGGCTACACAGTACAGTGTTTCAAGAAAATGTTAAGTGGATGCTTTGGAGGAGAAAAATTTACCTTTACCTGGATATTGCTGTTTCTTTCTTACTCCATGATCTCATCATGTCACAAAACTAAATCCAGTGTTTAAATCATACAAGAATGCACGAACAGAAAGAGGCAGATGCAATTCCTGCACACCAGGGTTACACTGCTTAGGGACCCTATATGCTCAAACACATTACCAAAGATCACAAAGTAACAGAAGTAAGAATAAAAACCAGAGTAAATCAGAGCGAGGAGGCCGAAGTCAACTACCTTTCCAACAGAGAAGCAACCTGGCTTGGGAATCTCTGTGTCCCAGAGAGACACCCAACATAAGACTCAATAATAACACACAGAAGCAAAAGACAGGATGTCATTCCTCAGGAAAGGAACAGCTGCACACAGCTGGTCTCTCCACTGGGGAATCTGCAAAGTATCCCCAGCAAGAAGGCACTCGCAGGCTTGCCTCAGCCTGGATCTCAACAGTAAGGAAACTTAGAGCAAACTGGCTCCACCTGGAAAGGCGACCATCCCTACAAAATCTGTCACCTGATGACCTCTGGGAACTGTCATTCCCATTACAAGATGTTATATGCTTGACTTCCAATGTCTTACTGAAATGCTCTCATCTTCTTGGTCCCTTTTATTTTAACCCTCCCTCACCCCTCACCCCTCTGCCTTAAGAGTCACCCAGCACACAGGCTCTGACATCCTGACACCCCCCTTCACAGTCACCCCAGAACAGGCTCTGACACCCCCCTTCACAGTCACCCCAGCACAGGCTGATACCACCCTTCACAGTCACCCCAGCACAGGCTCTGCCACTCCCCTTCACAGTCACCCCAGCACAGGCTCTGACACCCCCTTCACAGTCACCCCCGCACAGGCTCTGCCACTCCCCTTCACAGTCCCCCCAGCACAGGCTCTGCCACTCCCCTTCACAGTCCCCCCAGCACAGGCTCTGCCACTCCCCTTCACAGTCCCCCCAGCACAGGCTCTGCCACTCCCCTTCACAGTCCCCCCAGCACAGGCTCTGCCACTCCCCTTCACAGTCCCCCCAGCACAGGCTCTGCCACTCCCCTTCACAGTCCCCCCAGCACAGGCTCTGCCACTCCCCTTCACAGTCCCCCCAGCACAGGCTCTGCCACTCCCCTTCACAGTCCCCCCAGCACAGGCTCTGCCACTCCCCTTCACAGTCCCCCCAGCACAGGCTCTGCCACTCCCCTTCACAGTCCCCCCAGCACAGGCTCTGCCACTCCCCTTCACAGTCCCCCCAGCACAGGCTCTGCCACTCCCCTTCACAGTCCCCCCAGCACAGGCTCTGCCACTCCCCTTCACAGTCCCCCCAGCACAGGCTCTGCCACTCCCCTTCACAGTCCCCCCAGCACAGGCTCTGCCACTCCCCTTCACAGTCCCCCCAGCACAGGCTCTGCCACTCCCCTTCACAGTCCCCCCAGCACAGGCTCTGCCACTCCCCTTCACAGTCCCCCCAGCACAGGCTCTGCCACTCCCCTTCACAGTCCCCCCAGCACAGGCTCTGCCACTCCCCTTCACAGTCCCCCCAGCACAGGCTCTGCCACTCCCCTTCACAGTCCCCCCAGCACAGGCTCTGCCACTCCCCTTCACAGTCCCCCCAGCACAGGCTCTGCCACTCCCCTTCACAGTCCCCCCAGCACAGGCTCTGCCACTCCCCTTCACAGTCCCCCCAGCACAGGCTCTGCCACTCCCCTTCACAGTCCCCCCAGCACAGGCTCTGCCACTCCCCTTCACAGTCCCCCCAGCACAGGCTCTGCCACTCCCCTTCACAGTCCCCCCAGCACAGGCTCTGCCACTCCCCTTCACAGTCCCCCCAGCACAGGCTCTGCCACTCCCCTTCACAGTCCCCCCAGCACAGGCTCTGCCACTCCCCTTCACAGTCCCCCCAGCACAGGCTCTGCCACTCCCCTTCACAGTCCCCCCAGCACAGGCTCTGCCACTCCCCTTCACAGTCACCCCAGCACAGGCTGACACCCCCTTCACAGTCACCCCAGCACAGGCCCGCCCTTGGCATCATCTCCCAGCCGTCACCGCTGCACCGCCCGCGCCCCTTGGCACCTACCGGCCCAGCTCGGTCCCGTTCGGACCACCACGCGGCCTCCGTCCCCTCACCCTCCCCTTCCGGACCAGCCCGGTTCCCGGTCCCGGCGCTCACATCTTGAGCTGCACGTTGATGTCCAGGTCACAGCTGTAGATGTAGTGAAACTTCTCCGCCTCCCCCATAGCAGGCGACGAGCAGGGACGCAGAGACAACCCGGCACCGGAAGGAAGCCAAGAACCCACTGCAGGCCCGCAAGACACGGGAACTTCCGGTTCCGCCCCTCAGCGGGACCTGCTTATCACTGCGCAAAGGCTCGGGAACAAGCCGGCCTCCGGCGCGCATGCGCAAATGGCGCGCCATCTTGCTTGAGGGCAAATGGGATCCCGGAAGCATGGCCTGTTAGGTTACGTTCCCATCTTCCTTTCCTGACACAACTGTGTTTTGTTTTTTTTTGTTTCCGCCCATTTGCACCTGATTTGAACATAAAGGACATCACAGGCGAAATAAGGCTCTAAAATAACATAAAACCGCCCCTAGCTGCTGGCTGGTAAGGAGCAAGTGCAAAACCCAGTACTTTGCCAACTTCGCATTTCATTGTCCAAGGAGATTTGATACTAACTGCATTGCGCGGAAAGTCTCTTAGAGCCCCGAAGAACAAGAAATAGACTAGACAACGAAAAGAGTTGGGTTGCATTTTCGGCACCACCGGTGCTTATGTTTCAGTGCGTTTGTAGGCTGGGTAGGCCCAGATTTGGTTTGCCTTCTGAGACGAGCTAGTGAGGGCTTTCGGTAACTGGAACAGATTCTGAACCTTCCCGTCCCTGGAATTTGCATTTATAGCGCTTATTGTCCAACGTTTTCATCTTCCTTTGCAATTAGATTTAAAATGCAGACATAGTGTGCCATGGTTTGCATTTTGTCCCCTCAGAGGCCCCCACCACACTTCTTACACATCTAAAAGCTGCATTCTCTCTCTCTCTCTCTCTCTCTCTCTCTCTCTCTCTCTCTCTCCCCCCTCTCTCTGTGTGTGTGTGTGTGTGTGTGTGTGTGTCTGTGTGTGTGTGTGTGTGTGTAGATGAGGAATGCAGAACAGTAGCAGTTGGTTTGTTAAGATCAGCTGGCCTAGAACTAGGCTGTATAGACCAGGCTTACCTCAAACTCACAGAGGTCCACCTGGCTTTTTCTAAGTTTTTATTATTATTGTGTGAATGCTGGTGCACTGTGTGGAGACTAGAAGACAGCTTGCTGGAATCACTTTTCTTCCACAGTGGGTTCTGGGAATCCGCTGAGGTCATAAGACTACTTAGGTCATGAGGCTTTGCAGTACACACCTTTACCTACTGAGGCATCTCACAGACCTTGTATGTTTATTTTTACATGCCACATTTTAAGAATGTTCACATGCAAATATTTACAAATTAGAATTGTTAGAATATTGAGGTGGTGGGGAAAAAATTAAAGAAAATTAGGAGAAACGGGGCTATTTAAACTAGAAGGGAGGAAAAAAATGGTGAATGCACAATCTTATTCCCAGAGTAAATTATTAAAAATATTTTCTGAAGCAAATAAAGGCTGATGCACATGAACAAAAACACTATGGTTATAATTCTTTAAAGCTTTGAACAAAAATAGGACTTATGGAAAACATGCTTTCAAATATAAAAATGGCAGCATCTGATCATCAGAGCCAGGAGGCAGCAAAACAAACTGCTTGGTGCTCTGCCTGTGGTAAACGTCCAGCAGAGTTTGAGGCTGGTTTTGAATCCAGAATTTCAAACAGTGAAGCTTTTTAAAGAATTTTTAAGAATTCACGTGTCTGTGTAAGTTTATTCCACATGTGTGTAGGTACCAATGGAGGCCAGAAAAGGGCATCAGATCACCTGGAGCTAAACAAGCAATTTTGAGATGCTGGATGTGGGTTGGTGAAAAATGAACTCAGGTCCTCTGGAAGAGCAGCAAGTACTCTTAACCACTGAGACAGCTTTCCAGCCTGTGAAATCTTGACTTGTGAAAGTAGTTAAATTGTCTGGTGCCAAGGTTTATTTGAATTAGTTTATTTAATTTATAAGTTGAAAT